TCTTAAAAGGCGCAGACTTCTACATTGCCTAATTCCATTTCAGCCTTGTATCCTAGAATGTCTAAAAATCGCTAGGCTAGCCTTATTGCGTAGTGACGGAACACAGTTTTAAACAATGGTTTCAGCACCTTCTTCAGCAAGGATATGTGGAATACAGGGTGTATTATACTTCCTTCTGGTAATTTGAGTTTGAAAGCTACAGTATTTAACTTTTCTGCAATCTCACATGGACCATAGAATCTTGGACTGATCTTTGGATTTATCTTTCTAGCTAAGCTTTTCATATTGTAGGGCTGTATCTTCAGAAAAACCTTGTCTCCTACTTCCAGTTTTTCTTTCCTCCTATGTTTATCAGCCTGTTGCTTCATCAGATTTTGAGCTCTGGCCAAATTCTCCTTCAATTCTGTCAACATCAAATTCAACATCAAATTCCTTTCAGCTGTCTGTTTGGTTACTTCATCAACTGCAGTCAAGCTCACATCACCTCTGATGATAGTAGAGGGTTGTTGTCCAAACAGAGCCTGATAAGGAGTGCCTATCAAAGAACTGTGATAGTATTGAACCATGACTCAGCCCAAGGAAGCCACTTCACCCACTGTCTAGGTTTCTTGCCAGTTAAGCACCTCAAATAAGTCTCTAGACATCCGTTGACCACTTCAGTCTGCCCATCACTTTGACGGTGATATGCAGTACTTTATTTGAGTTTTGTCCCCACCAATTTGAACAATTCAGACCAGAATGAGCTCAGGAAGATGCTATCTCTATCACTACCTCTAAATGTCAATCCCTTGTACATCCAATTTGACCCCAGCACACCTGCCTCTATTGGAAATGCAATCACCATTGCCAATCTTCACTTTATATCCTTGAATAGGAGTATAAGGAATCTGCCATCTTTCAACCAACTTCTGGGACACAAAATTGTGGGTAGCACCAGCAAACTAGTAATAGTTAAACTAGCAATAACCAACTATATATATCATATATGCATAATTACCAGTGTTGTCAATCCCAGATAGCGGAGCGGAGTGGCCAACCCTCAAAATGCTATAGCGGTATAGCATAACGCTATTTAGACTACTTTTAAATACCCCCTACGTCCCATTTAAATCTTTACGCTTTCCTTTTTGAGAAGTCCCATTAAATCTCTACGTTTCCTTTTTTGACAACTCATTTTTACCAGTGATGTCAATCGTGCGCTATAGCGGTGGAGCAGAGCGGAAGAGAGGTCTGGCGCTGCTTGACCTCCTGTATCGTGGCGTTTGGGTGTTGCGGAGATAGCGGGCGCAACAGCTGGCGCAACAGCGGGCGCTATAGCGGTTGAGAGGCGGACGCTATACTGACTTTTTTTTTAGATCGAAGGTCTGTAGGGTTTTTTCTGCGTTTTTGTTTTTTTTTCTGCATATGGACAGGGTTAAAGTAGACTTTTTAAACTAAATACTCCGCAATAAGCAACTTAAAACCCTTGTACACGTATGAGAAGTGTAGAACCCTTAAAGACGCACAAGTAAGAAACTTTCTCTGTGCTCTGCGATGACCTCTGCGGCTCTGCTTCAACAAAATTTCTGCTCCATTTTTTCAAGAATGACCTTCACTCCTTCATTTTTTCAAGAACGACATTCACTCCTTCATTTTTTCAAGAACGACCTTCACTCCTTCATTTTTTCAAGAACGACCTTCACTCCATTTTTTTAAAAACGACCTTCACTCCATTTTTTCAAGAACGGGTCGTGCTCCTTCATCTTGTACAAGAAGGATACATGCTACACTCCTCTTTGTTTATTTCCAGTGGTAGACTGATAGACCGTTAATTTATCAAGGCTTAACCCAGGAACTCATTTTTTATTCAATATTAAAGATATTTTAATCGTTAATAACATTGTATGTTTTGCTCTTGAAATTATGGAATATTTCCCAGTAATTTAGGATTTAAGAATGTTAAGATGTTTGCAACTTTGAATGACATATGTCATAATTTACTAATGTGTATGTCATGTAATTATATGCTTGTAGTTAATTATGTATTATTATACTTGAAAGTAGTCTGAATAGCGGTCATCCCCCTATCCGCTATACCGCTATAGCGTTTTTAGGGCTGGCCGCCACGCTCCGCTATCCGGGATTGACAACACTGATTTTTACATAATTCTCCTAAATACCCTTCAATATTAATTGGAGATTTTATGGACGATGACAATGTGAATGACAATAATTAACGATGATATTAATACTTCTCCATTACAGCTAGATCATCATAGTTTGATTGTCATCATATTCCTGACCACCTGTTAAATCTTTTGGCATGTTTTGTAATACATAGGAGGAGAAACTCATCTCAGTTTTGTGCCCGAAGTTTGTTTCTATGTATATCGTGACGTAATAAGGAGAGAAGAATTAGAAAAGAACAAAAGGGGCTATTTTTTTAAATTATACATGTCCGTTGATGTTTTTTTTAATGAGCGGAATTTTATTAAAAGTAAATAAGAAGAGTACAAAAAGATGAAGAAGAAACAAGAAGAGTACATGTCCACTGTTAGTTTGTTAAACAATGTTAAAACATGTCTAAGTTCATGTTTTAGTTTATATTTCCTTTCACCTTCATTGAATTTTACATAATTAACAATAATTGGTGTTTAATTCTTTATATAGTTTCATGTTCCTTCTCATTGCAAATAGTCACACTTCTTCTTGGTATTGTAGATCACTATTTCAGGCTCTATTTAAAAAAACAAAGGTGTATCATGCCTATCTTTCATTACTATAATGCATATTTTGGGGTATTTCATTCACATTTTTTTGGGGTATTTTGTTCACATTCACTATACCTTTGCCAATGCTCTAATCAATAAATTCAATGGGTGTACCATTTTATATCTTCCTAATTGTTAGCACTTAGGTCCACAGTAACCAGATTGTAATCACGAAACTTGATGAAGTCCAGTTTATAATCTTGGTAGTCTTGAGACGTGTCTAGCCATTTTTTCTCTTTCATGCATACAAGCGCATAATAGATTTTACTTTTGTGGGTTCTTCACTACAGCTAGAATGTCATATTTTCGTAGTAATCAATTAATCATATTTTTCTTTCAAATAAATTCTGTAGTGTTGCCGCTGAACTTAACAAAGCACAAGGAAACGTAATTTCCAATGTACAAAGCACAAGGAAATGTCATCTGTTTAGTTAAATCTCCATATCCTCTGGCAAATTTCATTCATGTCATGGTTTTTCATATCCTCTGAGATATGCTTCATAGTTACTTAATTGCTTTGACTTAAAACTCATGAACTTAAATAAAAATATGAAAACCAAGTGATGCCCAGAAATGTGGATAGGGATTTTTGTTTCTTTTTGCTATTCTGTTGAATTTATCCTCATTGTGGAGTTTTTTTCTTACACTGTTATTAATATCTTTTTACATATTATTATGACCGTTTTTAAATTGGTTCTTTTATGAGTATGTGACAAATAAACACTTAAAAAATGTTCGCTATGAGTATGTGACAAATAAACACTTAAAAATGTTCGGTATTGTCAGTCTTTCTGATTTTTCTAAAACTCTAAGTAAGAATATTGACTAGGGAAATGCTTAATGCAGAGTTTTATTAGGGAAACTCCCTGTTTAAAGATTTTTTTTTGAACATATTTGTTTAAAAGTTCAGAAAATGAAAAACAAAAATTGACATTTTCTTACTTAAAACCAAGGTTCAAAATTGGGTATTGCATGTTTAAGGTGGCTTGTTGGCATTGCCTATTGCGTAAGCCTCAATTCTTACACAGATTTAAATTAAAAAAGTGCAAATAATGTAATTAAGAAAGTAAAAGAATGATAATAACTAACAGTGAAGTTAATAAAATATTTTAATGTTTCACAGTATTATATTCCGGAATATTAGAGCCCGTTTGGTAACACGAAAATCGGTTGATTCTGTTGAATTTACGAAGTTCTGGTTGAAGTGGCTGCATTGACTGATTCTTCTAAGTTAAAATTTTTTTTTTTGAAATATATTTTATTAATAAAATAAAGAAAAAAATATATGTAAAAATAGCTAAAATAGTCATCTACAATAACTTCAACCAATATAGCCAGAAAAGTAACTCTAACCTTACTTTTTCTTATTATTACACAATTCAGCGTGTGAAAACAAAAGTTAAGTGTTTGGTGAAAAAGTTGGTTGATAAACCTGATAAGCGGAAAAACAGTCTAACTCTTACAGAGAAAGATAGTAGCGGACAAAGAAGTTAAGAAGATAGCAAAGTGCTATAATGTTCATCCATTATATATTTTAATATCTGATACGGAGAAGTGTGGACCGAGGATTGGGATTACTGATTATTCTGCCACTAACTCCCAAATGAATGAATAAAAAAAATAAGATAATTAGACAACACATACCTCTGTTAGCGTGAAGATAAGAAGGGTGAGGGAACAAGAAGGTGGTAGAAGGTAGACGTGCAGAAGAGAAGCAGCCGCAAACTAAAATGAAGTTTGTATGTATATATTTGTAGAAGTCGATGGCAACTTACATACTCCGGTTTGTAATTATGCATTTTAAAATGAAATTAGTTTCATGGCTTTTGGCTGCAGCCTGCAGCAGTCAGCCATTCCAGAGATTAAAAGGCCTTTAAGCTCTTCAGGGTTTGAATAGATTTGCAATGGGGGGAAGTCACTTTGCACTCCACTTTTTGGGCGATATTGGATTTTGCACTCTATTTTAAGACAAATTAGTGTGTTTGCACCGCAATATTCAAAAATTTGTAAAGGAATGACGTGCAAAGTCGAATGACTTTATAGTATAATGGGATATTGGGATGCACATATTAAGGTTTCTGAAAATGAGGTGCAAAATCCAATATTTCTTACATGGATGCTAAGTCAAAGTTCCCCATATGCAATTAAATATAATATGCAGTTTGTGTCCAGAACTATGTAGACATATTTAAAACTAAGATCCTTCACCAGAGTTTTCCTGAAGAATTGTTCCACTCTTCGTTTTTGCAGGTGCATGAGTCTTTGAGGAAAGTTGTTTGATTGTTTCTGTTGTCACCATCATGTATCTCGATTAGAGGTACACATTTGTTGGTGTTAATATACGAGCATTTTATGTTTCGATTTCTTCAAACCTTACTCGTCAATCCAAAATGGAAAATTGCAAATTACCTACTGATTTGTTGATTAACATTTTGGCAAGACTGCCGGTAAAGCCCCTGATGCGATTTAAGTCTGTTTCGAAATATTTCTATGATTTGATAAAGAGCGATCTTCACTTCATGCACAAACACTATGAAATCAGCAAAACAAAACCGGAACATGCCGTTATAGAGTCTGGAAGTGATAAAAGAAAAGTTGTAAACTTGCTTTACAAAGAATCGGAGTTTTATGCGATTGGATGTCGAAACCTAGACATACCACTTTCAGTCTATTTAGGAATTTGGCATGTTAAGTGTTTGTATGGTATGTTATGTTTAATTGTCGGCAGAGAAGATCCATTTTACCTTCAATTCGGGAAGGAGTTAATTTATGACATTGTGATATGGAATCCATCCACCAAGGAAATCAAATCCTTACCCCCTCTTAAGGTTCCTTTCAAACATCCCCACAATTCACCAAACGAACCACCCATCAGGTTCGTTATGAATGATGGATTCGGTTTTGGGCTTTGTAAGAACATGACTTGGAAGATTGTTTGTGTCTGGAACTTTGAATTTTATAAGGATAATGTCTTCCACGGAATCGTAATGGTTGGTAGTCAAGTTGGTGATTCGTGGTGTTGGAGGGAAATTGATGCAAAAAATATTACTGGTGTTGATTTATATATGATTGAAGATTTTTATTTAAAAGGGAGATATTATTGGCGGGTTATGGTACAATACCCAGCTCTGTCAACTTACGATCGTGAGCGGCTTCTTTGGTTTGACATGGATGATGAGATTTTTGGGATACTTGAGTTGCCATCTCATATCGGATGTGGTTTGGTTACACCTATGAATGAGACTATTGCTTTTCTTGGTTATCCAATTTTGGCGAATAATTATCAGATTGAGATTTGGTTGATGCATGAAGATGACAATCACCATTTTAATTGGCATAAACATACCAGCATAGACTCTCGTCTCTATCCTGATGAACATCCGATAGGAATTTGGAATCACCATTTGCTTCTAATTCCACCAATGCCACAAACTGACTCGTTTACACTCGATGCAAATTTTGTACCATCTTTGATTTCCTCTGATTTGATAACTGGGGAAAGGGATATTATGTATGTGACAGAAGAAAGGAAAAACATAGACATTGCTTATAACTCAAGTGGGTGTGTTCGTGTGAACTTTGAGGGGAATGTTCAAATACCTCGAAAGTACAGAATATTTCACATGGTGGGAACGTTTGTTCGAGTTTACCATGAGAGTCTATATTTACCGTAAGAAGGCATGAACATTTATCTTATCTTCATTTATTTATGTATTTGCTTGTTTAACATTGAAATGTCATCCTTATTCAGTAGCGAGTAGTATATGTTTGATTGAACGCATACTCTTCCATGTGTTACCCTTGACATCAGTCAGCTCTAATGCTTCAGAACTATCTACATACAAGAGTTGTAGACTCTAATACCATATAAAATATGTTCTTGTGCGTTGTTACCATCAGATCTATCAAAGCAATTGGGGAGTTTAGGGGCCAATCCGTAGCCTTGCCCACCTCAATCATAAAGTTCTTTACTTTTACATAAATCCAATATGGAAATTTATATAGGTGAATGAATATTTTATCTGGCTCATCCTCATTTCATGCCAAAACTACGCCATTGGACCTGAAGTTATATAATATAGAAAAAACAATTCTCATTGTGCTAAATATTAAAGATATCACATTTATAACATCACAATTATCAACACTAACTTCATTATAATACATAGCTATAAAAATTATTTCTCAAAATATACTCGAATTATGATGGTTAATTATCACGGCTAATTATTGTCTAAATAACTATGTTGTTTTGTCATGGGAACCTTTCAAGGGGCGGGGATAGTATTATTTTAAGAAAAACTCTTATTTCATTGAATTGCTTCAAAGAACGGGGTAGTATGTTGTTCATTACTTCATTATCACGGAGTATATGTTTGTTTAAGTTTGTATTACTTTTGGAAATTAGAAAAAAGGATTTTGCTAAATATTTCTTTGGATTACTTCAAATTTAAAAATATTTTTGCTCCACTAATTTTTCAAAAATGAAAATTTGAACATGTATTATATATCTATAAATTTAAAAGGAAAACATTTTGAATCTTAAATGGAAAATATAAAGTATTTAATTTAGTCTTTATCATATGAAAAAAGGGATGACCCTTCAATCTCGAAAGCCCCTCGGTTCAGTTTTTTGGTTAAAGGTTTTTGAGGTTTCTGGTTTCTAGACTTGTAGTCCGGTCCAAGCCCGTATTATTTAGGCCGGATTAGTAAGATTATAATTAATTATTATTATTTTTAAATATATTTTATATCTAAAATGTATTAGTATGTAAGTAGTTAGATTTATTTTTAATTAAATATTTGTTCAAGAAAGGTTTATGTTTAAATGAATTAGTAGTCGTAAATGTTGTTTTTTTATAAAACTATAATTTTTTAGTTAAAATTTCAAATGTTGTCCAATTTTGTTCTGGCCCGGACAAATTCGGAATAATCCAGTTAGATCCCATATTGGAAAATTATATAGGTTTAGGCGTCTGGTCCCCGGTCTCTATATATATAGAGTGCTATTCCGTGGTCCCCGGTCTCTATATATATAGAGTGCTATTCCGGTTAGGAATTTCCTGACCAGAGCCCCGTCCGGCCTCCTCCATTTGGGGGCCTTCCCGGTGGTATTTTTTGTTCAAATTTTTTTGCGTATGTTCCTCATCAAGTCTAGTTCATCCATACCAAATTTGAGCAAAAAATTTAATCGGAAAGGTCGTCCAATGATTTTTGCAAGTTAACTGGTCCGGAAAATACATATTCCGGACCAGTTAACTTGCAAAAATCATTTGACGACCTTCCGGATTGAATTTTTGGCTGAAATTTGGTATGGATGAACTAGACTTGATGAGGAATCTACACAAAATATTTGAGCAAAAACTACCACCGGGAAGGCCCCCAAATGGAGGAGGCCGGACGGCCCTCCTATCTGGAAATTCCGGACAGGAATATTCCTGTATATATATATATATATATATATATATATATATATAGAGGAATGATCCTGTCCAGCCGGAGGGACAGGATCTTCCGTCCGGCCGCCGCCGTTTGGGGCGGTTCCCGGTGGAGTTTTTTGATGAAATTTTTATAGAATGTTCCTCATCAAGTCTAGTTTATCCACAAAAAATTTCAGCTAAAAATTCGATCGGGAAGGCAGTCAAATAATTTTTTGAAGATAACTGCTCCAACTTAAACATATAAAACGCAGTTATGTTTCAAAAAATTATTTGACTGCCTTCCAGATCGAATTTTTAGCTGAAATTTTTTGTGGATAAACTAGACTTGATGAGGAACATTCCATAAAAATTTCATCAAAAAACTCCACCGGGAACCGCCCCAAACGGCGGCGGCCGGACGGAGGATCCTGTCCCTCCGGCTGGACAGGATCTTTTCCGTATATATATATATATATATATATATATATATATATATATATATATATATATATATATAGGGATTGGTTCTAATGAGAACACCTCTTATTGTGAGATGTGAGAACAAATCCTAACCGACCATCTTATTAAATAATCGGCTATTACGTCATTGGTGCATAATACCAAGGTGCACTTTCGCACATAGTAAACTGTCTATTAGAACCGAAAATATGGGCGTTGAACTAATAAAGGGTGAAATGGTAACTTACAAAACAGATTCCTTTTATGGATAGCACTTCCGTGTTCTGTTTCCATTTAATGTGGCGGTTGGAGCTCCATTTTCCAAAATGGTGGGTCAAAATAATAAGGATTAAATTTGTATATATAATATGTTTTTAGTTTAAATTTGATTTGACTTTTTAAATTATATTCCAATTTTATCAAAAATTATATCAAATTAAATAATTTTTCATTATCTTTCATATGACACCAATAATGCATATATAATTGTCTTTTAAAGAAATAAGCACAATACATATACAATAAACCACAACAACCATCTCCAAATACAACACACAAGAACGTATATTTAACACACAACTATCAATATTTAATGCACATGATAATTAGTATCTCATGTTATGTAATTATATTATGAATGTCCATTAACCCCTGGCCCATATTTACTAGTCCATCTCATTGATGTAACCCTAGGTCCCCTCTTGTATATATAGATCCTTATACGTGAATGAAAGGAACCTCTTGATCCCACGTTATTAGCACGATGCTTGGATAGCTCTAACCCTTACGTTCCCTTCTTACGTTCTTCTTGTCCACTTCTGGAGAGCCGCCGCTAGTCACTAGTCTCAACAAAATTCTTTGGATGTAGCGGTCGGTTTCCTTCAGTGTTTTCACTCCGGTTGAGGTAAAGATGAGAGATGCGCACTCCAGAATGGGAAATCATTCACTAGGCCACCCACTCAGTCGATCCCCTTTCAGCCGGTTGTCCTACTCGATCGCTTGCTGCCGCCGGATTCCGCCGCTAACAGACCACCTGATGGATACGGCTGACTACCTGGTTCCTCAAGCAGTGCAAATCGGGTATTCAAATTTCAGAGTGCCCAGTTCCTCCGGTAAGACACCAATTAAGATTTTGTTTTCCCCTAAAGAATCTACCTATACGTAATTGGTCAGTTTTCTCTCCTTGATTTATTCTCTTAATTCATATACTACATACGTATATGTTTGTGAGGATTAATTAACATGTTGCTAATTAGTTTTCCGGATCAACTATTCTTATTTAACCAATTTTCCGAAGTTATGTATGCTGACATATAATTTATTCATGAAAACCAAAGTATAAAAAGCTCATATTTCCCCCCACTCCACCCCAAAAATTTATCAGTAGACATGCAAAACTATCCAGTTGTATGAAGATTAAACTAAATTTAGGAAAATAATTTTGAAAGACTTCTTGTTCGTCTTTCTAAACACTGATACTGACACTAATTCTAAAAAAATGATAGCAATCTTGTAATCACTATTCCCTGTTAGAGTGATACGGAGTACTATATTACTACATGTTTTTAAATTACGGTTATCAACGAAAATGACAATCATTCTTTTTATAAACATCTTATTGTTATACTACCTATTACGGTTGTCATTCTATGTTGAAAAATAATGAGATGACTGACCCATTGATTCTTTATTTAGGATATTTTCCCATCATCATCATAATTATTCCTTTTTTTTTAAACAAAAAATGAGCATCGAGAAAGATGTATTTTGGATGTGTTTGATAATTATTTTGAAATGTAATAGTCATATAAATCAGAGATTCAAATAAAGAACTTAATGACATTTACTAGCCATTTGAAACATATAATTCTATGCACTGTATTCATTTATTAGATATTATACAATATGGACACAGTTTAATATTGGTGTGGAGCTTTATTTTGCCATTAAATGATACGGAGTATTACATTTAATTTCCACACGCTGCACCAATGAGGCTCAGATGTTTTCACTTTGAAGCTTTATTTGCTTTATTTCAAATGCTCTAGGCTATAATTATTGCTAACCGTTGAATATTGATGACGTCTTTAATTAACATTTTTATTAATTGATAGATGAATTGCAAATTAATTTTGCAGTAATAACGAACGTTACTATATACGGACTACTAACGTTTATTTCGTGACTCAAACAGTTCATGACTCTATATGTTCTATGTATTTAATTTTATATGTAAAAGGTTATAAATGTAAGGAAATTTATTATGACTAGTGAGAATAATTTGAAAAAAAAAATACTCTTATATCTGAATGAGCTTTCAACGACTATTTTTTATAACTCTTTCATGAGTTTTAGAAATATTAATTTTACTACTCCTAATCTGACTTTTATGGTGAGTGTTAAAGTTTAGTATGAATAATATTTATTCTTATGAGACCTAAATGATTATTGCAATCTCACTAATTTATCTGAAATTGTAATTTGAGAAGTTTATGCATCAGGATTGGTTAATTACATATTTGATATAAAAGTATACTAACTTCTAAACAAATTATTCATATTACTTTAATGTGAGTTAAGCATTGAGCAAAATGCATAAAAAGTGAGAGGTCAGGTACGCATTGATCTTTTCATTTATATTTTTATGGCCATTTTAGATATATAGTAGAAATACATATGTGAATATGTATATGATGAATTTGATTACTACATGTTAATCATTGATATTTTATGATATATGTATAATACACATATCAATATCCTTCAGTATTTTGAAATACAAAACTTAAGATAGCATTATGTTTTTAGAATTGGTTTAACACGTGAGTAACCCTCAAATACACCTGAAGTGTACTTGACTTTCCCAATAAAATGAAATTATATATCAAAGTGTCAAAAGTCACTATAAAAGCATAAATTTGATGTAGAAATGGGTGTGTTGTGAACATGAAGTTCCCACATCGCTTACATGTGAGATATTGTGTGTTTTAAGCGGGGCCTGAAGCCCTTACTTGTGGACGTGTTTTAAAGCCGTGAGGTCCTGAAGTACCAAAGCGGATATTATGTTATTATATGTCAAGTTAAATTTTAAGAAATTTACTCAAGTGAATAGGTCGAGACAAGTCTTTAAGTAGTGTTCTTAAACAAATTTGATTATTTGACAACTTTTATGCTATTTCAGTAGTAGCATTAACCAATTGTTAGACTCCCTATATGCATCCCTAGAGGCATGATTCATATTATTTTATGAAAGTAATAGATCATTAGATTGATGAATATTTTAGAGATATATTGTCTATGTCTCAAGAAAGGATAATATAATACCCGAAGCATGTATATACTTGTGGCAAAAAGCCCAATATATATTAATCCTGTTTTAAAGATATATATTGCTTGAAGCATGTATATACGTGAAGCGAATCATACAAATTAGAAAGTTAATACTGTTTTAAGGGTATTAAGTATTGGAAACACAAATTATATTTATAAACATGTTGTGCACATAAATAATAATGATAAAATCTCAGGCATTGTGATTGCATTGATTTTTGAGTGTTTATATTTTTACTTTTAATTACTTTTTATGGTGTGTTGTTGTGGTAATTGCACATTTAAGGTGCAATCATTTTATTTTTCTAGTTTGTTGTAATTTAGTAAATTTAGAATCATCTTGAGCAAGAAACAATCAAGAATCAACAAAGGATCATGGAAGGGATCTTACAAGATCAAAGGAAAGTGCAAGGGAACAAGAAATCATGCAAGAAATGTGATTTGGTGACTTACCCGGTCGGGTATAGCCTTTACCCGGTCGGGTATGAAGTGACCCGGACAAAAAGACGTGCAGAAAACACAAAATCGTGGGCAAAATATTTGATTTTGACAAATACCCGGTCGGGTATCTCAAATACCCGGCCGGGTATCCGGTGCAGCACCTTCAAAACACCTATAAATAGCCCCATTTTCCTTCACTTTTAATCACTCCTTCTTCCATACTCTTAAGCTCAGTTTAGAATAGCATTTCCCTATATTTCTTTTAGTATGTTTAGTCTCCAAATGAGGAGCTAAACTTCCATTTCTTGGTATTGCTCTTGAAGCTTGTTGATTATTAAAGTTGTGAGTTATTTTCTTAACTTCTCTCCTTGAATATTAATTCTTCCTTTAAATACTATTTCTATATCAATGTTGGGGAGTGTTGCTAAGATGACAATTAGTTAACATCTTGACATTGGTCCTAGTAATAGCTATACCTTCCTCTATGTTAATATCGGTGAGTGTTACTAAGATGACAATTAGTTAACATCTTGATATTAACCATAGTAGGATTCCTCTTCTTTAATATTCTTCCTTCAATATTAATTAATCCCTATTCATATTTTATATTAATATTTTGAACATTACTTAAAGGATCAACTAGTTTTGTTTCACATATTAATTATTACTAGAAACGATCAACGAACCGATGGTTAATCGTTGATAGTTTCACAAGTAAGTAACTTCGGTTTATTAATGCACGGTCGTGGTTAATAAACTTAAGAGGGATTAATTTTGTTGGTTAAACCGGAACCGTTGCGTTAAGGTTATCAATCTCAATTGATTTCATCAAGGAATTAAAAGATTAAATGCTACTATCAAGTCGGTATATGGCGTTGTTCTATACTTGACTAATAGTAAGAGTTATTAATGAACGGTCGTTGTTAATAACTATCCTCGATGAATTGGATATACTCCTCGATTGAGTATTCGAGAGGAGATAAGTTATAGATATAACAATGATCGACTAAAATATATCAACAAGTGGAAAGTAGCAATGCCAAGTCCCTTTTATCTTTGAATTAAACCACATAACTCATTCATCTTCGTGTTTAATTTTAATCAAATCACTCGATCAAAACCCCCCTTTTATTTACTAGTTACATAAAAAGAAGAGTTATTCCTTTCCCTGTGGATACGAACTCTACTACGCTATATTACGTATAAGTGCTAGTATTGAATATTAATTTGAGTGCACTCACGACAAAGTGCACGTCAAATTTGGCGCCGTTGCCGGGGAAAGGCAATTATTTTTCTTTTTATTTTATCTCATAAAAATCAAAAACAAAAAAAAATCAAAAAAAAAAATCTTACTCTTCTATTTTCTGAGCTTACATGAGTTATGAGTATATGGATGCCAACACATCATCCTTAGAGAGTCAAATTTCCTTCTTGACTTCTCTAATAAAGGGATTTATTTTAAACTCGGAAGCTCAAGATGCCAAGACATGCAACATTTGCATGTCTCACAGGCATTTTACGGATTTCTGCCCAAAGTTCCGAAAGGGATGCACCTCACATGAGGTATGATCCGTTCTCCAACTCTAACATGTCTACAGAGGATATGGTCCGGGCTATTGCTACCAACATGACCACCATTCAAAACAACATGGTGCAATTCCAAAATGAGACCAAGTCTAGCATTTCAAACTTGGAAACTCAAATGATTCAAATAGCCAGAGTCGTAAGTAGGCTTGAAGCAAGGGATTCGGAAAAACTTCCCTCTCAAATAGAATGTGATCCTAAACAGCAAACTTTTGCAATCACATTGACAAATGAGAAGGAAATGCAAAAGGAGATCCAAAATCCAGAAGAAGTAGAAGAAGAAAGAGACGCGGAGCTCCAGCTAATCAAAGAAGAGGATGAACCGAGTTTCAAGGTCAAATATCTATCCTTGTCGTCCTTTGAGGTACCCCCAACAATTCTAAAAACTTTGAGGGAAACTCATAAAATTGACAAGGATAATGACATTTTTGAAATCTTCAGCAAAATTGAGGGATCAAAACATTTTCCGTTAACCATGTTTAACGATAATTTCTTTCCCTCACTCCCACCACATGAATCAATGAAAATCTGGATATTTGATCCTGGAAAGATTTTCAAAGTGAAGAGTCAAGAAATTAAGCATTCCTATGGAAGTCCTAGGAGTGAAAGTGTGAAGAAGATAAACTATCACGATCCAAGTTTGAATGACTGAACACAATGACAGCGTCGTGCCACGACGTTAAATAAAGCGCTTCTTGGGAGGCAACCCATGCAAGGTACATTTACTTATTGCATTTTATTTTTGCACTTTTAAAAAAAATCACCTCATTCGTCTTTTCCAAATTCGAACCCAATTCAATTACCCCAAACCTCCTAACCATATCCCTCTTTCTTCAAAATCTATCCAAACCCTCCACCAAACCCCACAAAAAAAATCATAATCTTGTTCTCATCACTGTTCTCTTGCTCCACATACCCTCTAATCCACAAACTCTTGGAAGCAACCACCCCTCTCCCAATCCACAACTTTATATCTTCAAAAAAAAGTGATGGCGATAACGAGCACTAGGGACAGTGCTCCGAGCTAAGTGAGGGGGAGTCACTCATTCGTACACAATTATTTTTTCTACCTTGTAACTTGCATTATTTTCTTCACAAAAAAAAATTAAATAAAAAAATAGATGAAATGCTAGTTAGGTTGAAAACCCAAACGGGCAACCTAAGCAACATTAGCAAAAAAAAAAAAGAGTGAGTAAAAAAAATGAGAGGCTAGGATGAAAACCTGAAAAGGCTCCTAGGAAAAAGGAGAGAAATGAGAGAAGAAATTAGTTTTGCAGGAGTTCATTTTTACCATAGCAAGCAGCTGGAGGGAGAAGCAATAACTTTCTATAGTGCGGATGAATTTAAACTGAAAAAGAAAACACTTCTGTTTTCTTTTTATCTCATTGACACACTTTGGATGGTGAAGAACTTTATGGATTTTACTCGAGGACAAGTAAAAGACTAAGTGTGGGGGAGTTGATTGCATTGATTTTTGAGTGTTTATATTTTTACTTTTAATTACTTTTTATGGTGTGTTGTTGTGGTAATTGCACATTTAAGGTGCAATCATTTTATTTTTCTAGTTTGTTGTAATTTAGTAAATTTAGAATCATCTTGAGCAAGAAACAATCAAGAATCAACAAAGGATCATGGAAGGGATCTTACAAGATCAAAGGAAAGTGCAAGGGAACAAGAAATCATGCAAGAAATGTGATTTGGTGACTTACCCGGTCGGGTATAGCCTTTACCCGGTCGGGTATGAAGTGACCCGGACAAAAAGACGTGCAGAAAACACAAAATCGTGGGCAAAATATTTGATTTTGACAAATACCCGGTCGGGTATCTCAAATACCCGGCCGGGTATCCGGTGCAGCACCTTCAAAACACCTATAAATAGCCCCATTTTCCTTCACTTTTAATCACTCCTTCTTCCATACTCTTAAGCTCAGTTTAGAATAGCATTTCCCTATATTTCTTTTAGTATGTTTAGTCTCCAAATGAGGAGCTAAACTTCCATTTCTTGGTATTGCTCTTGAAGCTTGTTGATTATTAAAGTTGTGAGTTATTTTCTTAACTTCTCTCCTTGAATATTAATTCTTCCTTTAAATACTATTTCTATATCAATGTTGGGGAGTGTTGCTAAGATGACAATTAGTTAACATCTTGACATTGGTCCTAGTAATAGCTATACCTTCCTCTATGTTAATATCGGTGAGTGTTACTAAGATGACAATTAGTTAACATCTTGATATTAACCATAGTAGGATTCCTCTTCTTTAATATTCTTCCTTCAATATTAATTAATCCCTATTCATATTTTATATTAATATTTTGAACATTACTTAAAGGATCAACTAGTTTTGTTTCACATATTAATTATTACTAGAAACGATCAACGAACCGATGGTTAATCGTTGATAGTTTCACAAGTAAGTAACTTCGGTTTATTAATGCACGGTCGTGGTTAATAAACTTAAGAGGGATTAATTTTGTTGGTTAAACCGGAACCGTTGCGTTAAGGTTATCAATCTCAATTGATTTCATCAAGGAATTAAAAGATTAAATGCTACTATCAAGTCGGTATATGGCGTTGTTCTATACTTGACTAATAGTAAGAGTTATTAATGAACGGTCGTTGTTAATAACTATCCTCGATGAATTGGATATACTCCTCGATTGAGTATTCGAGAGGAGATAAGTTATAGATATAACAATGATCGACTAAAATATATCAACAAGTGGAAAGTAGCAATGCCAAGTCCCTTTTATCTTTGAATTAAACCACATAACTCATTCATCTTCGTGTTTAATTTTAATCAAATCACTCGATCAAAACCCCCCTTTTATTTACTAGTTACATAAAAAGAAGAGTTATTCCTTTCCCTATGGATACGAACTCTACTACGCTATATTACGTATAAGTGCTAGTATTGAATATTAATTTGAGTGCACTCACGACAAAGTGCACGTCACATTGAGTGTAAGCTCAAAGAAGCTACTCAAACACTGCGAAATAGTAATTTGAAATGTGATATCATACTTATTGGGTGATAGTTTGAGACCATAACAACGCAGTGTGAATTGTGTTTCCATAATATCTGCCTGTAGCAGAATTCTCCTCATACTATACTATATACACTTGAATAATTTATACATGTGTTGCATGAAATTTAAGATTTTTGAATAAATGACCATTGTAAGGTCAACCCAGGTTTAAACCAAATGCCGTATAGGACATCCAGTATGTTAATACTTCTTAGATGAGAAAATGGCAAGACCGTCTATTCTCCCAATATTGTAAAAGTGGATCCATGGGAGTTAAGTGAACTTGAAGTTTCACAATGTGGGTTAATACTATTAAATTTGGTCTCAAAATATGCTCTCTTGGAATGTAATGTAATAAGTGGTACAAGACTACTTTGCCGGCTTCTATGAAATATAGTGAAGGACATAAAGTTACCCACAAAATATATCTAGCATTATAAGATGAATGTTTTGCCTAAGGTAAACTGCTAGAAAGTTGCTTAAATATTTGAAGAAAATGTAGTGTATATTAATTCGGCATTTGTTAATAACTAACCCCCAAAAGTTTACACGTTTAAATGAGCCAAAGTGTGCCAACATTGAAACCCCACTATAGAAATGATGTACTTGGACCCCAGAAGTGGTTCCATATGCACGTAAATCCTTTTTCAAAAATATTATGGCACATTTTCCGACATTAGGGAGAGATGTAAAGGCATAATCATAATTATATCTTGGAATGTCGGAAAAATATCCCAGAAAGATTGAATGATATGAAAAGAGTAACGTGTAAAATATTATTAATAAACTGCCAAAGTGACTGAAAGAAATGATTATAAAGTTTGGGCTCAACCAATGCATGAAGCATGGTTAGACGGTCATTATGTGTATATAAAATAAAACCGGTTTTTATTACAATAAGTAACTTATACCTTTACAAGAGGATGATATAAGTTAAATGCTGCAGCTGATACATATTAGAAACTACATGATACATAACATGAGTTCCTCTTTTATGGCTCATATAGAGGACTTTGATGAAATGGAAATCGTATTGATTAAGATTGACGTCAAAGATTTATTTTCCGAAACCATCGATTCATAATCCATAATAATTAAGTCTGGCCAGACGAAATATGATGGACCTGCAGTCCTAAAATTTTGTGAATTATGATCGATGTTTATGGATGAGAAGATATTTTATATTGGGCCTGAAGTCCCATAAATACAAATATTTTGTACGTGGGGTGACAATACTTGAGATTGAATGATTTTTAGATTACTTTCCTGTTATAGTTTGAAGTTCTGTAAATGTGGCAGTTAATGAGAGAATCATATGTCATTGTTATAATATCAATTGTGTGTCCCTGAAGGACAATGGTGAAAAGAAATATGTGCACACAACATGCAACATGAATATGAATTCTTTTATGTCTATAATAATTAGATATAGACATTATGCGTTTAATTATAGACTTATCATTATTATATTTGGGATTATTTTGGAAAAGAATTTGGAATTGATTGAATAACTGCACCAATTGGATATGCAGTAAAACTCTAAGCATAGTTGGAAATATAGAAAGAGATGCTTGTGCCTAACCACAACCTAGGTGATCACATTATGCCTTGATTACATGATTTATTTTGTAGAGGAACTATGCTTGATTATCATGGTGCAAATTATTTTATTTAATGTCATGATTGAATAAGGTCTTTGCACCATTATTTTATTTATTTTGTAGTGAGTGCCTCCTGTAGAGGATCTAGTGTGAACAAATTTCTTGTGTGTTTCACATGATTTCATGACTAGGATTTAAACTAATTTAAAGTGAACAATATTCATACTACTTCTCAACTTTTCCTGCAGAAAGAGTTGAATGAGGAAAACTTTATGCAATGAATTTGCAATTACTCATAAACCTTCTATTTGTTTACCTGAAGTAAACGTATATTATTCTATAAACCAAATTGTATAATTGAAGGTGTTGAAGGCTTTTAAGCATCTAGCCTAGAAACAATACATGAGAATCTTTTGATTTGAATGGTGTTTGATTATATAAATAATAAATATCTAGTCATTACATTGTGAACACCTGAAGTGTTTGTATAATAATTTGAGATCCTGGGAGGATCAAAACATGTCCCTTTGTAAATTTTAATAGGACAATATTTGAGAATACTCAATTATTAAATGTTTGATGTGCATATGAGCATTAACATTAAATTTGATGGTCTTGAGATGCACATTGCAAAAATCATGAGTTTAGACAATTACTTCTGCTTCAAAACTCTTGAAGAGTTTGGTTACTAATGTCCATCAAATCTGTATAAATAATGATGAAGGTTTTGTATACTAAAGATTGTCATTAGCTCAAATTATATGGAGTGGATTGAGGTGAAACAATTAATTGGTCCAGAAGACCATGTGTTGTCTCTTTTTCTTAGCCAAGTTTTTTTTCCCAAAGGGTTTTCTTGGCCAAAGGTTTTAAGTTATTTTGTGGTTTTAAAGAATGAGAAAGATTCATAACATTCGGAAGACTAGTATCCTCTAGAAGAGTGATTCTAATATTAGTTCGGAAGACAGTACCCTAAAGTTCTTAATTGGTCCTTGTTAGATCGAACAATTTATTGGTCCGGAAGACCATATGCAGCTGTACTCTTTTTCCTTAACCAAGTTTTGTCCCATAGGGTTTTCTTGGTCTAAGGTTTTAACGAGGCAGTTTGTGACTTTGAAATAACATATTATGATACATAATATTCAGAGTATTGTTTTTCTCTAGAAGAGTAAATTCAAAAGTCATCCAGAAGATTAGGCCCCGAAGGCCAATGACTGTACTCTTTTTCTTTACTAAGTTTTTCCCGCATGGTTTTCTTAGTCAAAGGTTTTTAATGAGGCAGTCAATACAACACATCATTTTACATATATTATGTACTCTTTTCCTTGATTGGTTTTTTCCCAATGGGTTTTTCCAACAAGGTTTTTAACGAGGCATACACATAGTACGATAATTCATTCGAAAAGTTAGCAACCAGATTGGATTGAATTGGATTCAACAAGAAGACCTGAAGTGATGCAGTCAACAGGGGGAGTATATACGCGTTGCACTCTTTTTCCCTTGACCAAGGTTTTGTCCCACTGGGTTTTCCTCGGCAAGGTTTTTAACGAGGCAGCATCATCACTTCGTATAAATAGAATAATGTATATTTTTCTTGTAATGTTTATATTTAATAATGTACATTCAAGGGGGAGTGTTATGTAATTATATATTATGAATGTCCATTAACCCCTGGCCCATATTTACTAGTCCATCTCATTGATGTAACCCTAGCTCCCCTCTTGTATATATAGATCCTTATATGTGAATGAAAGGAACCTCTTGATCTGGTTCATAACATCTCACACATAATTTGTATTTAAAAAAAACGAGTATCTCAATCACAAAAAGCAGTATCCAACGCACAACAATTAAAGAATAATATCTAACCGCAGGGATTTCATATAGTACACATGAGCTAGTATCTAAAGCACAATATGTATATACGTGAGAAAACTCATATTTAGCACATGGAGAATCACAACAAGTATGTCATGCATAAAAATTGGTATCTAACACACAATTCAGAATATTGAATGCACATGAATTTGTATATAACACACACCCCATTTATGTAATACACATGAACTAGTATCTAACTCACATTTCATATATAACATCACAAAAAAAATATATATATATGTTTAAAAAAATTCTTATGATATAGTGATTAATAATTAAGGAGGTGAGGAGATAATAAATGAATAAAAGGGAATACTATTCGTTTTCGTTTGTCATAAATTAAAAAGTGAGAAACAAGATGCCGGTGCTTTCAAAATTGAAAAGTAGGAAACAAAATTACAAAATTAATATGATAGACAATTTATTCTTTCCATTCCTAAATATGTGGAGCACATTAACTGCAACATCCGTTAATTAAACTACCAGTAAGGAATAATAATATGTAAATGCCCTCTAACGCCATATACTTCATTGCAGATCGCCATATATTTTGGAGGGTGAGGACTTGTTCTCACTTCTCACATTAAGGGGTGTTCTCATTTGAACCAATATATATATATATATATATATATATATATATATATATATATATATATATATATATAGGTTTTGGTTCAAATAAGAACACGATCTTATGAGAAAAATGAGAACGAATCTGGGCCGTTAGATTTGCTTCAAGTGAAATTCAGTGTGCATTAGATGAAAGTGTAATGTGCATGAGGTGAAATTGAAATGTGCATCACAAAGGGTACGATAGAGTGGCATTATGTGCAATTGAATTGTGCATTACGTGAAATTGAAATGTGCATTGGGTGAAGACGTGAAGCTGAAATGTGCAATATAAAAAGTACGATGTGATGTTATTTTTGCACTTTTTCTCTCGCACATATCAGTTTAATCTAATGCACACTTGAGTTTAAATTTTTATTTTGCACATTTCAATATCATTTAATGCACATTTCGATATATATATATAGGGAACTCTTCCGGTAAGGTATACCTTACCGGAGCCTCCGTGCGGCCTCCACGTTTTGAGCATGTTCGCCATCCGGAAGGCCCTCAAAACGTGGAGGCCGCACGGCGGCTCCGGTAAGGTATACCTTACCGGAAAGATTTTTTCTCTCTCTCTCTCTCTCTCTATATATATATATATATATATATATATATATATATATACACACATATATAGGGAGCGGTTCCAGTAAGAACAGATCTTAGGAGAGAAATGAGAACGAATCTAGACCGTTGGATTGTATTATGTGGAACTGAATTGTGCATTTGGTGAAACTGAAATGTGCATTAGATAATATTGAAATGTGCAGAATAAAGATTTAAACTCACATGTGCATTAGGTGAAACTGAAATGTGCAGAATAAAAGGTACTAAAATAACATCACATCGTACCTTTTATTTTGCACATTTTAGTTTCATCTAGTGCACATTTCAAATTCATCTAATGCACAATTTAACTTCACATTATGTCACTACATTGTACACTTTGTGATGCACATTTCAATTTCACCTAATACACATTACAGCTTCATATAATGCACATTAAATTTCACATAAAACGAATCTAACGGTCCAGATTCATTCTCATTTTTCTCATAAGATCGTGTTCTTATTTGAACTAAAACACACACACACACACACACACACACACACACACACACACACACACACACACACACACACACACACACATATATATAGGGGTGAGATCCCATGCAAACCAAGTTTTCGGTGCTAACCTACAAACCAATACCAATCGTTAGATTAAACAAATCGGACAACTCTCTGTACAGGTGCACTGACAATACATGGAATTTGACAATACATGGAACTGACAATACCAATCATTAGATACCAATACCAACGCATCATTAAACGGGTGCACTGACACACATGGAATTGAAAAAGGAAAACACCATCTCAGAGCTTAACTCATTCACAGGGCTACTGTAGTAATTTAACAAAACAAAAATAAAAGCCGCAAAAATCAAATTTGAGAATAACTTTGGAAACCTGATTTTACGGTTAGTATTCACATGGATGATTGAATAAGGTAACCGACCATGAATAAAAATGGGGAGAAAGGTAAATTGCAAAACATGGGCGATTGAAAACACAGTGACCAACGATTTGAAATACTGGAGCAAGGTTTTTGGTTATTTTTTTTATTGAAGCCAAGCGCAGGGAAGGGGGGGTGATTGATGATTGCAGGGGATTGGTTCGCTGCAGATGGAATAGCTGTTGCGTCAAATTCAAAATGAGCTTGATGAAGGTACTCATTTTTAGTCCTTGTTTATTTGAATATAGATGCAAAAACATTAATCTGGATGCATGTTTGATTTGATTATTGAACTGCATATTATTGACAAAATTATAATGCAGATGCATGATTTTCATGTAAAATCAATAAATAATGTTAGTTGGTTAAATTTTATTTGACATACAGGTGTATTATTCAAAGTCAATATAGATGTAAGAGTTTGAGATATTATGCAGAAGTTTGATGTGTAAGATGCAAGAGTTTTGGTACATGAAATTGGACTGTCATTTAAATTTGTGATACGGTACTTTTAGATGTAAGATGCATGGATTTTGGTACTTGGAATTTAATTTTGGAATAGATGTAAAGATGCAGTAGTTTCAGATGTAAGATGCATGGTCTTGGTAATAGGAATTGGATTTTCAAACGAATGTAAGGTCAAGACATGTAAATGTAAGATGCAGTAATTAAAGATATTAGATGCAGGATTTTAAAGCATGTGACTTCTGTTTGTGAGAAATATAGATGCATGAGTGTATGATACAAGATGCATTTATTTAAAGTCGAATAAAAATGAAGGTCTCAGAATTGTGTTAACGCATAGTATTTGTTAAATGTTGATTGAAAGTGAATGCAACTTTATGCATGTTTTGATTGTCGTATGTGTTTAGTAAAAGTCAAGTGTTATGATTGAATCACACATAATTGCACTTTGTATATGGGAATTGAGCTTCAATTCATGTAAGCACAAAATTCTGTTATAAGATGCAAATCTAATATAATCGCAATGCATCATTACAAGTCTATAGTGCATTAGTCATTCATGGATGTATTTTATATGAAAACAAGCTAAACGATGACATGTAGATAAAATAGACAATAGAGAAGAGCAAGAGGTAGTAGGAGCGAAAAGAAAACAAGAAGGCGCATCATCAAATTCTGTAAGTCTAAATTGAATAGTGGTCACTACATTAAGAGTAGAAGGTCCACAGGTGCAAGCAATGATGAATATACAACATGATGAATTCCAAAGTAATGAAGTGAGAAGCAAAGGTAGGAAACTAGTACAAGGTTTAAGAGAAATGAAAACAAATTGAAGTTTATTTGTTATGCAGTTTAATTTCATAAATTGCATTTGTTATCGATCTAGTAATGCAATGATGTTGTGGTAACTATGCAGGTATTGAGATAAGTAGAAAAGATAGTGGAAGACTGGAACTAAGCATGAAGAGAAGGAGGATTTGTGAAGACAAATAAATCAAAGAGGTTGAATGCACCATAGCAGGAGTTGATTCAGACAACATGTGTTTTTGTTTACATTTTACTCGAAAAAAAAATACTATGACATATGTTATTGAGTGTGAGTGGACATCTATGGAAGTTTTTACCTGACGTTAGTAATGAAACATCATTCATGACATATCGTATTATGTTGACTGTTTGGTAAATGTGCAACACAAACACTTATTCTGGTTGAATGAATTTTATTATGAGTTTATTTGCATCTTAACAACTTGTATGATGCACTGCAAAGAGCAATAGTATGCATCATTATATGTTTGAGATATATAACATAAAATAGGACTATTGTGTGGGTAAAGTGCTACTCTGAATTTGGAAAATTGTGCACTAGAGCATATTTTTCATTGTGACATGTGAATATATTGTGACAATGAAGTTTGAAAGCATTTTTCAATGTAGGTTTATTATTGTTGAAGTGGTGTATGAGCATCCAAGTTTTAGATGGAATTAAGTGTTATATGAGTTCAGATGAATAAATTTAGTTCAACAATGTTAATGCATTGGGAAGAGATAGTGAACTATGCGTTACATAGCATATGACGATGCACCATTGTGATGTATAAGGTGCATTACAAATTAACAGACTTACTACATTTATCTTTATCATCCAAAGAGACGGTCTATAGAATGCAACCATACATACTACTAATTTTATAAACTGTGATATAAAAATAGCTATTTGATACAAATAACAAAAGAAATTAATGTCCCCATTAGTGTAGTGCGTTAAATAAATAGATGAAATTATTATGCATATAAATGCATTTGAGAATGCATTTCAATGTGCTCTAACGTGCAAACAGTAATATGATAACGGATGACATCCAGGGAATCACATGTGCACATATTGTACAAAACATAAAATACAATGAATACATGGTAAAAATAGATTTATTTTGTAAATTTATTTACATTTTACATACCAATACATGGAAAAATAACAAAACAAAATAACTAAATCAACTTAATCATATCATGAAATCCTATTTACTATATTTAAGGGGTAATTCCTGCTATCATTATGGGGCAAACTACAGCTGCAAATTCTTTGTAGAACTCGTTTGCATCATAAAAAATCATCACAGTGCTCAGGGAATCAGCTGCATAATCTGCTAATTGACTTTGGACCTCCTCAAGCACCGCACGTCCGCACCCCTCCCTTCAGGACAAATTTGTGATGAAAATGTCTTTAAACAAGATCATCCCTTCTCTGTGGCCCTAGAAATTATTTAGAAATTGCAGTCTTTGTAAAAATCA